GCCAATGAGCCAGCTAGTGAGGTACCGATGAGGTGATGAGGTGGTGAGGTGATGGCGAAATGGTCGACCTTTCTTATGTCACGTACAAGTTGTATTGTATGTATGTATTTATGCATGCATGTATGTGTATGTATGTGCGAGTATATTCTCATTTTGGCTTTTGCTCATTAAGCATAAATACAATGTGAACTCGGAGCCATTCCATTCCATTGGCATTTCACTTTTGGCATTTTCATGCTAATTTATTGAATCAGATTATGTCATGACACACGACCTACCCCTACCCTTGAACATGGCTGTTTTTCAATTTCAAGTCGTTTATTTTTTGTGTGTGTTTTTGTTTTCGGCGTGTTTTTTATTTTATTTTATTTATGTAATATATAGATGGTAAATAAAACAGGCGAGCATGCCAGGCGTGATTTGAAAATTATATACATACATACATACATACATACATACATACGAGTAGTAGATGCTTGTGTTCTCATTCTGTTGCTTTTCTTCTTTTTTTTCTGCTGGCCCACGCGTTGGAGGGGAAAGCAACAGCAACAAAAAATCGAGAAAAAAATGTATAAATTGTGTTCTAATATCAAAACTAAACGCCAACAAATTAGCATTAAAGCTCAAATAAATTGAATAAACAAATGCGCAAAATATGAGCCAAAATAAAAACAACAACAGCAAAAGCCTCAGAAGATGAAGAAGAAGAAGAAGAGGGAGAGAGTGAAAAACAACAAGTAGGCGAAATAATGCTGCTATCGCTAATCAAAATCATATGACAATGATGTGCGCCTGCAATTGTGTAATAGAATTATAAAAGTAGTATCAAAATAAAACCCACAAACAATATAAGTAGCTACCACTACTACTACTACTACTACTATATCTATAAATAAACTACATGCTCTGTTACTTTTTAGGATAAATGCTCCTTAGCAAGTAGGTGGGTCTGGTTCTCCTATTGTTAACCAACAACCCTCATCTCTTTTTATAAGAAATCGCATATGAATCATTATTTGAAATTCCGGAACACCCTTTAGTGGCACAGTCATTTTCTCTTTTTTTTTTTGTTTAAAGAATTACTGTATAAAAGCAACAATAGATTAGTTTGCTTAGACGAGCTCATTTACGTATGTATGTACATACATTTGCACCGACTTGTCCCATCAGAGCAGTTTGTTGCTCATTGAATCGAATCGGGCCTTGCATGTGTGAGCGTGTGAGGAAGAAAAATAAAAAAGTAAATAAATAAATATTTGAATATGGCGCGTGCCATTCAGATTAAACAGTTTAATAGACATACACAATCTGGCAGCTGACCCATTTCGAATGTACTGAATAAAATTCCAGCCAAAAAAAAAAACATATGCCAAATTAGTTGATTATCAGCTGGAAAAGAAGAAGAGCTTATTCATAATTTGCATCTGGTAGTGCTAACTACATACACTTTTCCTTCAAGACTTCACTACTCACTTCCAGAAAATCTCTTCCTTTCTTTATTATTTGATAGCTGAATGGGCATGTCCGTCTGTATGAACTCGTCGAGCTCGAAAACTACAGGCGCTATAGCCAGTTAACTTATTGGGAATTATGCTTTGATGTTAAATGCAGTTTAATTGTTTTTTTTTTTTTTTTTTTTGAAAACGAATAGCTAAGCAATAAGTTTTATTATTAGAAGATATTTTTAGATATTCTTATCAAACATTTTGGCAACCCATTCGAAGGAACAATAAAGTTGTCCGTCGTACCTGTTCAGTCGATGAAAGGCATATTCTGTTGAAACTTTGTTGCTGTTATAAAAATAATGCGCACTTTATTTTTATATTCTTTGTAAACAACAAATGTATGTACATATAGTATATTACTTCTTTACTATTGCCAACGAGCTGCATACCTTTTCATACATTTTTTGTAGTATATATACTATATATGTAAATACAGGCCAACCAGAAGGCAATAGTTAAGCATTCATGTTTATCAGCTGTCTGGCACGACACAAAATAAGATACATAAGCAAATGCAAATAGAAAAAACCTCGACAAACTTGACAAAATGTGTATATTTAGCTTTGCGGTTTTTTTTTATCTTAATGCAGAGTCGTTCATACTTAGACTTATGTATGCAAATCCAATCCGATTGCGCCCCCCACCAGGCCTTACTGGATGTGTAATGCGTGCCAAAGTATATTGAAAGAATGGTGAACCTATGGATTGAAATGAAATCTACAGACAACGTAATATGTCGTGCGCATAAAGCACACTCCGTACACTGATACCGACAGATAAGACGTCCCACAAAGTTGACGATGTTGGGCAACCGAATTGAATTGCGCTTCAGTGGGGATTGATAAAAATATACACAATATTCTTCAAAATAGGAACAGACAGATATGGGGCGTAAATTATAATGATTTTTAATAACACTCTTCGCTTTTCATGGTTGCAATGGTAGCTACATGTTTGGAGAATTGCTTCAAATCGGTGGTAAGTTGTGGGTAAATAATCTGTCGATATGCATCATTTTTTCAATTCATTTATTTTCCTATCCTCTTTGGGATACAATTTGAAGAAGAAAGTTTGTATAAAAATACAAATGTTCTGGCACACGTTAAGAAAGTATTATGTTGCTAGCCCAAAAAATAAAATGAAAATGAAGAAGATTCACATTTCAGGTCGTCCCTTTAGTGATAAACTTCATCATCGTAATGTCCCATTATTTAATTGTTGTTTTGCAAAATTTACACATTAACGTTTATGGAGTTTCTTTTTTGAGTTTGCAACTCTGCATCGGACTACACTTAAAGTTTGGTTTAGTTGCCGGCCTCAGAATGCAGTCAAGATCTCATTATACTTGTAGAAATATGTCAGCATGGGCCATCATTATCTTCAACTACTGACTACTATTACTCGAAACTATAAGTTAGTCTCTCTCATTGTTTTCTTTGTTTTGTTTTATTTACGCCACCCGCCGTGTACACATTTCTATCTTATTTATTTAAATTAATTTATTGCCTACAGTTTGTGGCACACATAAAAATAAATGAACTCAATTTTGTGGCTGGCACACACACACACACACACACACACATAGATATAGATATAGAGAAAGAAACAAAAACCAAATACTGCAACTAACTACAACTACAACTGCAAATACGAGCAAATAAAAATAAAACAGTGACAAAAACAAAACGCGAAATGTATGGCAAAAATGTTTAGTTTAGTGCGCAGTGTTTGCACTTCGCTATTTGCCATGTGCCTGCCTGTTCGACTCTTGAAGTGTTTGTGCAGCTCCAACTGTTATTGGTATTATTCATATCGGCGATAGACGGCGGACGGCTGACGGCTGACGGCAGCAGCAGCAGACCTCGGGCCTGAGACCTTTCTCAACAAAAAAGAAAGTAAGTCATCGAAGCGCTGTGGCTGTAGCGCCAACTTTTGCTAAGTTGATTTGTTTTTATTTTTGTTTTAAGATGTAAATTAATTGAAATATCGCTGTGATCAGCGACAATTGGGAAAGTTGTTGGCTGAGTTATGTAAGGTCCCCCCCCCCCGTTTGTCCATGTGTGGTGTTACCGAAAATGCTAAAACGCTTGCGGCACAACAACATTTGAGGCCAACACAAACACACACACACACACACTCAGATACGAGCCATGTGCGATTGCAGGCCCGGTTTTCTTAGATACATATCTTGAAGTCGATTTGGAAAAACCCACTACTAGCTGGCAGTCGCTTAGAGGGCTCGTCAGAGTCGTATCTATACCTACTGTGTGGGTCAATACCCAAACAACGCACTGGAAATGTTTCTTATTTTTTGGGGAATTTCATTTAAAGTGGACACCACAATTGGCTGAGTGGTTAAACGCGAAGCAGATCTGTTTAACTTAAATGGAGATCAAAGTACTAGTTGAAAGCGTATTAATCTGATTTGAAGCTACATTTCTATTTATATATTAATATTTAACTCAAGCTACTAGGCCTTTTTAATAGAAATGTAGTTAATGAGGTTAACAGACTGACTCTGTTCTTGGTCTTTTTTTTCCGACACATTAATATTTGCACATGTCTGTTTCTGTTCTCTAGGCGTTTGAGCGATAAATTGAGAATACTGGGCCAGCAGCTGCTTTCTGGCTGGCTCGCTGGCTGTCTGTCTAAATGTTTGTCTGACTGTCTGTCTGACTGTCTGTCTGGCTGGCTATGCCAGTTACACTTGAAGCGGTGGCGTAGAAATTTGGCACACCGAGAGGTAGGTCAGGCATGGAGGAGCGAGCGTACAATATCATAGTTTTGGTTCTAGTTTCCCCCAATTGAAATACTTTCTAGATAAGATCTGTTGACTCTAATTTCAAGTGCGGGCGAGAGCAGAGCCAAGTATTTGCTCGTCTAAGCTAATGCTTGTGGTATGTGGGTAAGTCCCAAAAGTCTTTCAACGCCAGCAGCTGTTAAAACTTGACGTAATTGTTTATCTATATATTAGCAATTTTGTTGAAGGCGCCGACAACAATATAATCTTGAGATTGCCAAACGACTGCAATTAAATGTACTTGTATTGCGGACCAAGCACCTCAATACCATTTCAAGTGGTTAGTTTGCATAAACAATCCAAAAAAAAGTTTCAGCGCCCTCCTCAGCGCTTCTCATGCTTAGCATGGATATACTTCTTGGTACATAGTTGGTGGTATTATTCTTAAATGCTAATGCCCCCGATGGTATGGTAAGGGTGTGCTTTTTGGCAAATGTTGTGGTAGCATTTCGCAATTGTCGACTCATACGATGGAAATGCCCGATAAGCTATAAGGTGAGGTCATTACACAGTCATATATCTACATACGTGTATTTACACAGATACATATATACTTGTATATATTCGTGTGTATATGTATATATGTATATAGAAATGTGCACAATGGCAATTTGAGACAGTTTGTCGTCGGCTTGTGTGTCTCTGTGGCTGTCATTAAACTTTTGTCATTGAACGAGGGTTTGTGCAGCACTTACTTTTGCTTTTGGCCAAGCCGCTGGCCACCTGTAAAAATCCATAGACGGCTATGACCAGACAGGGCAGCGCAATGACGCCAAAGGACACGTAATCCATATGCTCAAAATATTGTGTGATTTGCTCCATTTTTGATTCGTTTTTTTTTTTCTTCTCCTTTTCGACGCGACTTGAGTAACTTGAGTCAACAAACAAAATTTGCCAAACAAAAAAAATATAAAAAAATAAACTAAAAAGTGGAAAACCACTCTGGCACGAAGGACACGCAAAGAAAAAAAATACACAGGCACTATTCAATATTATACGAGTGGACTCAAGTATTGCATATGATTTGGATGGATTGGATTTAGATTTTGTATTCCCTTTGAATTTTTGTGTGAATTATTGAGAAATATTAGGTTGGAAATTTTGATACTTTTTTCAAGGCACACACACGCGCAGGCGCGTCGACGCGAACCGAAAAGATATGTTTTTGTTGGTTTTTGGTTTTCTATCTTATTTTTTAATTCTCGTCCTATTATATGGAAATTTCGTCAGCCATAGACGACGGCGACGACGGCGTTGTTGCGTTTCGTAAGAGTTTCGTTGTGGGTTCTTTTTTCTGTTGTATTTTATTTTGTTGTTGTTGTTGTTGTTATTTATTTTTATTTTTTTGTTTTTGTTTTTGTTAAACTTGGTTAAGCGTTTTTCGTTCTGCTCATTTAGTTGCAGCAGCTGCTGCGATGCCTTAACATTTTCCGCTGCTCGTCGTCTGGTTGTTGTCTTGTTGTTGCTGTTGTTGTTGCTGTTGTTTTGGCGGCTTTATTGCTGACAAATGTCTTGAGCACAATATCCTTTTTGTGCGCCAGTTGTCGCCTTTGTTGTGCTGTTGTTGTCAATTTTGTTTTTGTTGTTGTTGTTGTTGTGGTCTGTTGTGGCAAATTCAACGCCATGTTTTGCAGTGCAAATCTGGCAAATCAAGAGCTCTGCAATTGCCAAGATCGAACAGCGAAAGTTTTTGTATACAAAATATAACGTTGATAATGATGATTGGCTGGTTGGCTGGTTGCACTAAACAGTCAGATCAGACAATGGTTGCTGCTGTTAACTAAGAGTCCATATATGTATGCCGCATATATGTTGAAGTTAAGAAACAAGAAACAGACACTGCAATTCATCTAAAATGCATTTTGCTCAACGATTTTTGCGCATTTCAGTTCTCGGATTCGATAGTACGAGTACATATATTTCTTACTCGACGGCTAACTTTCAAGTTTAAATTGCAACGATGACGATCGACCGATCGACCGACCGACAGACAGACCGACAAAGACGGCGCGTGGTATTTTGTAAAGCAAATGGATGACGACGCGTCGGCTGCGGTATACTCGTACGATGCGACTGAAACTGAATTCGAATAAATACAAAAATATAGTAAAGAAAACGCAGCGTTGGCGAAAGCGCACGAATAAAACGAGTGTTTCGTCGAGTGCTGGCTGAGTGTTTTTCGAGTGGTGGTGCTGTGCTGTGCTGCAAACGAGCTTCGCTTTGGCTTTGGCAATGGCAATTCGTCGTACAACACACACGTTAGTCGCGCCTCAGTTGCAAACATGAACTGAACCGATGGCGGCCAACGTGCTTGCTGTATATGCCGGCCAGCAGCGCAGTCAACGACAACGTCAACGGCGGCATCGGCAGCACCGTCGCCGTCGACGTTCGCATCGCCAGTCGGCAGTCGGCAGTCGAAGCTACTCGTCAGCGGTAGTCAGCGGTTGCGGGAAAGACATGAAATTGAATTTCAATTTCGCTCACGTCGCACAGTGGTGCAGATATTAAAATTAGTGGTCGCTTCCCATTCATCACATAGTACTATTCTGTCTGACAGACAGTTACGAATTTATAGCTACCAATAAGAGGAGTCAGCTTTGAAATACTCTCTTTTTTATCTAGATACAAAAAATGTTCGCACAGACAGTACTCCTTGTCTTATGGATGTTTACTTGAAATATAATATTGTATATATGAAATGCTTCACAGCCCATAATATGTTATTATCCAGTATTTAAAAAAATTATTATATGTATTGGAATATAATAGATAAGAAATAGACAGCAAATTCCGAATACCCTGAAATCATAATTTAAACATTATTCATCATTCTTTAACGCCATTGTCTAAAAATATTGCTAGCGCATTATATTTTAATTTTGTGTTAAGTACATATTATTTCCCTCCTTGTTTTATTGATGATTTTACAAACTATCCACAAGGAAATGAAAATATAATTTATGAGAAACAAACCGGACACTACCAACACTTCAAAGTCAACATTGTTTTCATTTTTTTTTAAATTCTTGAAATATATTTCATTCGTTGTAAAATATAGTTTGCTGATTTTTAGTACTTAATACATTTCTCTCGTCGAATTGGACTTTTCATTATAGGGCCGCTTTATTAAATTTAAGTTAGGCCTACTTCTGTAAAAGGTTATGAACTAATGGACAGTTAGAAACACATTTAGAAGATCGTTTAGTGGTATTTAAAGTTTCAGGTAGTTATCGCTAACATAAATCTGAATTGAAAAAAGAAATATCTAGCTTCACAGGCAATCTTATATCGAATAGGTACTGTAAAAAGTGAAGAAATATCAGCCTCAGCTAACTTCGACTTTAATTATTGCTATTCGTGTTCTATCTATTGCAGTATTATGAAATAAAAATTGCAAATAATTTTATTTGCCCAAATTCCTAATACAAGCCATAGTGCATTGAGGCTTTTTTCGTTTTGCTGCATTTACCTCACCATTTATTTCGAAATGTTTGGCTCTTCGACGGCGCTCTTCGTGCCGATCCCCCGTGCCGACTGTCGGTCGCTTGGCCATTGTTTATAAGCGTATAACTCAAAGCACATTGTCGGCATCAGCGTCGGCAGAAAATCAAGTTTATGGCATCGGCACGTTTTTCGAAAACAAGAAAGCGCCTAAACTTTTTCAAAAGAGCGCCCGATCGAGGGCTCTACCCTCTCCGGCTCTCTTTGCCGGATGATCGTTACTGTAGCGGCAAAAATGCACGTGAGCGAACAGTTTTCAAAAAGTTGCAGTTATTTAATTCACTAAATGTATATTTCGAATTATACAGAGTGTGTGGAGGCGGTTGTGTGTGCTGGCTAATGTTGAATGAAAACGCCAACGCATTTCGTTTTAGTCTAGATTGCGCATGGGATCGGATGGGATGGGATGGGCTGTGGAAAATTCTATCAATGAATAATATGAATAGTGTGACGTCGATGAAAGTTTATGCACATGACGCGTTGCCATAAACTTGAGGCGCCCCATCTGGATTGCATGCTATTGTGGGCGATACACAAAAACAAATAAAATACGTATGCAGATATCGAAAATGTGTGCAGTGCAATCATGATTTGCGATTTCCATAAGTTATTTATAATTAATCATAAAATTTTAGAGAACACTAAGTCTATGGAGATTATAAGCCTATGTGTATTGCACGACTCACGCTAGAATACTTGTATTAATTAACCCATAGTTCTTGATACTTTTTCGAACTAAATGAAGTGGTCTTCCTCAAGATGTGGAATTTGAGCGACTTAAACTAAGTGGTTATTGATCGCGCTTACATAATAGTATAGGGGAAGATTTCGCTATAAACGGGTCCCTTGCACTATTCGAAAGGCGTTTTTGACTTGAAAGCGGCATAAAAAAGGAACAATCAAAAAATTATACTAATAATTCTGTCACACTTCTCGTATTTTGCAGAATATCCAAATTTGGCAATACTTCTTGCTTCTTACAAGTTCCTATGGCACTTATACTTGTATATGATAGTCTGGTCTACCAGATTTTGAAATAACAAGTCTCTGCGAAATATTCAAGACGGTAGAACATATAAGCATACAGATTATATCGGCTTTAGTATTACAATTATCAGGCCAGTTTTTGATAGCATTCCAAGAAATTGCTGGAAATGAATTACCATGATAAATAAATGTTCGAATTCAAATTGGAATACTTTTTCCCTATAATATATAGGTACTGAAAAGGAAATAGCTGAAGCCACTTATTTTGTGAACATCTATATAACAGATTATTCGATCGGATGGCAGACCAGCATTATTAAAAATTTTTTGATTTGATTGAAATAAGATCTAGAACAGATCTATGTTCTTTGTATGACATATTTTTTGCTCCTCAGAAATATTTTTTTTAGAAATTCTCAAAATTCGAGTATGATTCTAGTATAATCACTTCGACTTCACTGTGCGTAGACATTTTTAAGAGCGCGCCGACAAATTTAAGAGTAAGTGGGGAGAAAGCTTACCATAGAGCTCCCAAAAGTTCAAGCGTTTTGATCGAGCAGCGGATCAGGGGCAGCGTGCAGTAAGCTTAGTGGCCGTAAAGTCTTGGGGGACGGACAGCGACACAGACATCGACACGGGCTGGCAAAGCAATTGCGTTGTTGCAGCGAATTTGGATTTTTCTATATACCGAAGGCACCACCAGTGTTATTCTGTTCTTCAGTTCATAATTTATTTATTTCTGATATGGCCTCTGTGTATGGATGGATGTTTAGCGAAAAGACACGTATCACATATATTCGTGAGCTCGTGTCAGTTGTTGTTGGTGCTCTTCTTGTTCTTCTTCTTATACTTGTTGTTGTTGTTGTTGTTGTTGTGGTTGTTATTACTGACATTGGTGCCAAAAAGGCAATGTATATATATACCATATGTGTGTGTGTGCTGCTAAATGGCACGCATCCCCAAGCGCACACAGACTGGGAATGGGACTGGGACTTGGACACTGAGACATATGTACAGACATGCCTCTAAGTCATGCACATTTCCTATAGACGTGGTGTCGTCCGTTGAAATGGAAACTTCTTGACGTCACTGAGCCTGAACTTTTTCCAGCATTGTACGTCAGCAATAAGTGGTACGACATGGCGACAGTAGCAACAACAGTAACAACACAACTACTTAAATAATTCATACCAATATAACTAGATATTAATGTCTATATGTACATAGATAGTTTGTAGATATCTGGCTTTCGTTGCTAGCAATTAGGAAATGAGCCACGTCAGCGCTGGAATATTTAATTATACAAATATGTGTGTATTGCTTTTCCTGCTGCGCCGCCAACAAATCATTTATGCACGGACCTCACGTATAG